AATATCGCGATTACTAGTTACCTGCGTCCTACCTACCATTCGCAAAGGACGCTGGGAACCAGCGAAGTTTTGAGGTAGTCCAAAACGAGTTTTACGACAAGTCGGCGCTTTGCGACAATATGAGTCGGCAAGTTCCGGACAGAAAACCGATCTGTGGAGACTCGTCGTAGGAGATTTTTTTTTTTTGAGAACAGGTGAAAACTAATGCGCGCGCGGATATCATCCATAAAATTAAATCGGTGTAGCCTAACCGAGGATTCACCAGTGTGTGTGTGTGTGTTTTTTTTGTCATTGAAAAGTCACTTAACAACGATTACGGATTACAGTTACTGTTCTTGCCCATTGCATGGCAATTTATCAGCTGACAATGTTTTGCATGGGGCGAGATCTGCTCACCAAGCTTGTGACTGCGAGCAACCTTACTAGGGGAACCAGGGGCTTGCTCCCCCTTACAAAATTGAAATCTAGATCCACTGAAACGTTATTTACTGTATTTTAGAGGAAATTTTGCTGACACAAAGGACTTCAGCTTGATTTTGTGTCGACCCATACCCCCCCCCCCCGTCCGCCGCCACTGTACGGTGATCGTGTGAGCTACAGTATACTGAGAGCGTAACAAAAACATATTATGGAGGAAAAACCGTTGTATGAAAACGTGTTTTATTTTCGTCAACAAAGCGAAAAAGAAATTGTGCGCAAATATAAAATGTCTCGGGTCTATCTGCCCATATTCCTTGTGCGTGAAAATAAAGTATTTCACAGTATGTCACAGAAAGCAGCCAGAATAGAAGTTGTCGTTCTGTTTGTGACATTCGGGTAAAAAAAATATTTATCTTTTACATCTGCGTGTTTTGTTTTGTTTTGTTTTTTTGCATTTCTTTCACTCTGTGTAGCACACTGGAAAGAAGATTCTAATTTTCATCTGGTATCTTTAATTTGTGGACCTGTTTGATCGCGCTTGAGTTAAGTGACAAGGAGCCGGAACAGGAAGTCACACACTACCGTATGTACTGAGGCCAGCGATCAATCAAAAAGCAACATAAACGCAAACTATGGGGATAAACGCGTACCTTGGTTCCTTAAATTTTAAAATCGTGTTTTGAGTAGGTTCCACTATTTACAGACAACGAATGCCAAATTTTATTACTTTTAGTTAGTTACGTTGAAAAAGAAATAATTTATTTGTATTTATCATAAAAGCTGAAATATAGAAAAATGTGTTGCCAATATCTTGTCACGTTAACGTCTATTGTCATTAATTCATTGTTTATGGCTATCAGTATATTATTCTCAACATGATAGATTGTGGCTGGTCACGTGATAATACATCGCCATCCAATATTATGGAATGTGTAAATAATTGAAACATATAACTGTTGGCACCAAACAGTAATAGAAATCTGAGGCAGTAATATGAATAGCTTCACTATGTGATCATCGGTGATGTTTAAGCTAAAAAAACTGTATACATCATTATAGTTCGTATATCTGTGTTCCAAACCAATCTTTTTCGACGACACAATTTCACGATAAGCAATCTTTGAATTCAAACTCCATATACACATTCGTTTACAGTAGTCACATAAATAGTTGTTATAGTTGTTTTGAACCAGACGTTTGGCCTGGAATGAATCTTTGCTGTGTCCTCACCAATATACCAGGCTGTAAACAGCGACAATAAAACAACAATTAACGATGATTACGACGTCTAGTGCCTGGCGAAATCATATCTTTGAAGAATTTACCCGCATATACACACGCCAACGCTGTAATTTGCATACAATAGGCTGTCAATGTCATGTGACCCCCGTTTCACCTTTCTGTTATAACATGGACGTTGTAACTAGTATCTGCTATCATAACTGTGATGTTATGTGATGTCATGTAAACTACATAGAAGATGACGTGTCATGACATCGGCAGCACGTGCTTAGCAACTGACAGTCTTATGTCGACATGTGTTCTTATCACATCAATCAAAGGTTAAGGTAGTGAATTTGATCGATACGAGATAGGCCGCGACTTGATTCAAACAACAAAGATATATAGTTCATGACCCAAAACAAAGGACATTTTGACGTGTATCTGATAGACCTATCAAAGTAAACGTCAACGACACTGCGAGGGCATTTGGCGGTCTACACGGCCTTGATGACCAACTTGTCTGTTTTGTCGTTTCTCTTGTAAGTAAGTACCATACAAGTTTTGCAGTACACGCAGTACTTGGGAATCGAAACGTTTATTTTTTTGAACCAGATTAGATTCTGCCATTGCATAACATTCAAAAGATTTATATGTTGTTTAGCTCGTACTTCAGTGGGACACTGTGAGATTTATTATTTGGATTTAAGCCACATTCGCATTTATTATGTTTGCGTAGTGTACGCAATTGCGTAGTGTGTCTACTATTTTTACTTTCCTAGACACGTAAACGATGACGCCGACGTTTTATTAAAATATTCGCTAAATGCTATACAATCACGGCATATTATGCTATGCCAATGAAAGGCCTATGAACTAAAATAGCAACCGTCTGATCTCTGGTCTTGTTAACAACAGAATGTGACGTAAAGCTTTATATAATGACAATGATAAATATGTATTATAATGAAATGTGTTCTTTCTTACAAAGGTTCAGTGCAACTGCATGCGAAATGCGTTATAATCCGGGCATTCAGCGTAATAAATCTATTATGGCGTGGACACGCTATTTTTATGGGGGTTAAGGTTCGATATGACTTAACAGGCTGGAGAGGTGTCGCGTCTCCTAGATCACCATGTTCCGCACCGGCTATAATGTGTGTATCTAGCCCCTTGAGTACGTCGTATTTTTCGGCTATCCTCTCCCTATATATGATAGGATTCTTCAACTCGTCGGGTTTTTTCGTCGACAACAAATGATGAGATGATTGCTTTGGCCTTATTGAGTAACACTGTCATCTTTCCTCGGTGTGCTGACCGCGTTCCCATCCAGTTGGGAGACTGTGGCTGTATTTGCGTTCCTTAGCCGTTCTGGACTCGGCACCAAAGATGTGGTGGTTAGGGTTCGATG